GAGGTGACCAAAGGGATGTTATGAACCAGTATCCGACGATGAGACTTCTAATGTTTGATTATCTCTGTAAATCAGAGGCCGATGGGCAGCTCCAGGGACCTCTAATAGTCTCAGAATAGACTATACGCCGCCCGGTATGCTTCAGAACAGGAGCTATTAACCCGGTGGGAGGCCCGAGCCAGAATAGAAGATTATAGGAGACTTATATCACAAAGTCGGAACTGACTTGTGAAGCTGGCGGGCGAGTCCTGTGGCTGTGCCCGGCCGCCGGGGTTGAACTAGGACTACTAAGGTCTATTCTACTCATTGAACCGACCTGGCGGGCCACCATTAGTCCCTTTATTGAGTGAATTCGAGATTTATTGGATTAGATGAACTTTCAGGTTTTACGGCACTTCATTTGAAGTGGCCGCCAGGCTTGTTACAACTATGAATGATTAGAGTTGAGAATCCGACCGCCGGGCTGCTTATTTGAACGGCAGGCCATCGCCAGTGTATGGCGGGACCTCAAATACAGAATCAGAATGAATCAGATGAGATGATCGGATATTAGACCGCCGGAGGCCCGTATTGCTAATATAGTGTTACGAAGGCCTTGCATGAGTCACATTCTCTTGGCAGTCTAATCTATCAGCAGGCGGCTCATCAGTGATCCAGGAACAGCCCGGCGGGCCAACTCTAGCTCGTCTCTGTTGGACTTGGATTATTGTTGGGTTAGTTGGATTATATCTCAAGAGTGAAGGAATACCAGAGGACTAGATTGATGATTGACTAGAGTGGCTGGCAGAAGGACCTTATCTGAAGGAATCACATATTTCCCAAGTGGACCGGCCGGCCATCTCATCATAATCACGCCATAGTGATTAAAACTGTGAATACAAGATCCGGCCCTCCCGCCGGGCCCATTATACCCACGAGTGGTGAAATCCACTTCATACCATTGGCCGCCGGCCTTCTCGGACTCAGTCAGCAGCCTCCCACTCACGTGTACAAGTGTTCCGTTTATCCTTTTATCTCCTTTTACTGCACCACTGTTTGTATAAAAGTCCGTAGTTTACTGTTTGTACTTCAGTAGACTTTACCCCCCCCTTCCCGACGAAGGGAAATAGAGTTGACTCAGAGAGAAAGAAGTGAGATTTCAGAGTTTTCGATTGCACTTGAAGCTTGAGCAAGCGCTGTTGGGCTGTCCTTGTGTCGTGCTTGAGAAAGATAAGCTACAAAAGCTTAGTTGGGTGCTGCCTGCCGGCTGCACGCCACTAACTTACCTGAGTCGGTGCTCGGGGTTGAGTACTTGTCGGAGCCCGCCCTCCCGAGGTTGAAGGGAAGCTGAGAATACATTTCAAATCGAATTGAGACATTAGAGACGTCTGGCTTTGAGTGTCGACACCGCATTGACTATACTCGCCTTTCGTGGGCTATAAGTTCTTCCTTTTGAGTGTGGACCCCCCTTAGGCCTATCAGTTGTCTCTCAAACGCTGCCTGCCGGGCAGCGTAGACTGGTTGCGACTTCCTGCTTTATAAGCGAAGCTGGGCCTATCTGCCTCTCAAGTTGCCTTTGGTCAACGGAGTGAAAAACGGGAAATCAAGTACCGCTTTGATTGTCTCTGGCGGCCGGTTCAACGGAGTGAAAAACGGGAAACTAAGTACCGCCTTGAACCGCTCGTCTCAGTCAGTCAACAGATAAGGGAAATCAAGTACCGCCTTGATATCTCTGACCGCCAGCTCAACAGATTGGGAAACGGTAGTACCGCTTTGACGCCTGGCGGCCAGCTGATAAGGTATAAATGGGAAACTAGTACCGCCTTGACGGTCGATTACCTGGAATCATTGCTTTGGATGCTCCAGTCTCTCTATAGTGGGGGGGCTTCGAGATAAATAGCAACCCTAATTGAATCGAATTGACTTTGAACAACCTTCTGATAGACGATACGCCTGTCTTACTACCCCGAACACACACACACGAAGCATTAGAGAGTTGCAGTTGTGATTGATTTTGGATTTGGGTTTTGTAGTGGTGTTTGGCTAGAGTTCACTCGCTGGCACTTGCAGAGTCCATAGTCCATTAGATTTCACGGCTGCACCCGAGTGCACCGTTTCACCGGGTCAAACTGGGATCACCTGAGCCTTCGTATGTAGAGTTCAGCACTCCTTCCCCGCTTCATGGCGGATCGGGAACGCTCGCTCGCGCCCACCTGAGAATTCTACTGAGCCCGAAAGTTTTCTCTTTCTCTTCCCCTTGGCCGGATTTCTTCATCGCTTATCCCTGATCCATTCAGGTATACTCTAAATTGATATCATTTACACCGGGATCCCGTCCCGCCACAATTTACTGGGCATTAGATATGTGAGCGTCAGTTTTTTATGCAGGCGTGCGAGCGGACATTCACATTCATCCAATTTTAACAAGAGCAAAGAAGTCTTTGCAGTAGAATGGGCCACTTGATCCCCCTTGTACGACTAGAGTTCATGGTTCGAACCCACCAGAAGGCCTTCTCCTGACGGGTGCACTCTTTTGACCCACAATTCAACCATACTCTTTTTTGAGTGTACTGTACCATTTCGACCGTAGGTTCACGGTATGTCACCTGTCACCGCACATGTTCATTTTCTTTGATGTTCATTCGTCGGCTATGACATGGGATTGGGCCTCTTCGAGGCAGGTGCTGAACCTTTAGGATGGGATAGACAAGATGTGGCCCCAAATCAGTCCTGAATCCTCCCATATTCTTGTTCATTGTAGAATAATATTTGTGGAGAGCAAGACGCTGCTGCAAGAGCTTTTTTATTTACAAAAATTGCGACAAATCACATCCTTTGGGAGAAACCACCTAGCAAACAAATCGAGATTTCAAATTTTGTGATTTTAGACTACTATTAGCTAAAGGCATTCTTGACCACTGTGTAGTCCTGTAGAGTCTGCTTCGGATTTGAGAATGAGAGAGGCTTCTGAACAGAGATGGATCAAAATCTCCTGTCGCAGAGTGCGCACACCCTTTTGATTTTCACTGGAGTCTGGAGTTATGTTATGGTGGTGAGGAATCTTTTTTTTTTCATGATACCTGACATTGCGTAACCAGAAATTTAATGACAGTGTTCTTCACTTGCAAGCCAATTAGTTGCGCACTCCTCTGGAAATTTCTGCATGCAGCTGAGTGGTTTTTTCTTTGCAACATGCTAAATTCACGCATAACTCTGGATTTTTCGCACGTAACTTTGAAGATTTTCACACACAAGATGGAAGATTTTCGTCTGATTGATTTCCAACGTTTTCAAGAGGTCTCTTCACGCTATATTGTAATTACAGCGGTGGCCTGGCCTGGCCTGTCTGAGTAGCATTTGGTTGAGAACCGCAAACTTCCAATTGATAACCATGTTGGTCTGGACCCCGGAGACATCCAGGCATTGAGGCAAAATAAGTTACCACTGCCCAAGGATATGTTCCTGTGCCACAGCCTGAACCCTGAAGATTACGGCCAGGATACTCCTGCAAATGTTTGTTTCCAGAGCTGCCTTGAAAAGAAAAATTGGCAGGCCATCGGCCAACATAGCTGCTGATCAGAACATACCAACAGTCAACCAAATCATGCTTGTAAATTGGGCATCGGACTCCGGAGATGTGTGGGATGGGCAAGATTGTTTCAAACATTACTGATACTATGAACCAGGTTTTCCACAAATTGCAGGTGCTCAAATTGTGTACATTATCCCAATTACACAAAAGGTTTACAGAGTAATATACCACCATCAGAGTCGGCCTAAGGGGCTTGATGCACGTCCTTGAGGATACCCTTTTGCGGCACGTGGTCGTGCCTCTCCAGCCGTGACAAGTCGGATCAGCAACTGTCGCATGTCAACGGATAGTGGGCCGAACATGAAGCAGAAATGACTAATAACAGAAAATTGAACTCCGTGAATCTCTTTAGTTCCAGGTGGTGAAGCAGGCTCATGCATGATCATTCAAGTCAGTAATACATTGCCTTGCATTTTGATTTATTTCTATATCTTACACCACTTGCTTTCAATTTATTTTCGCAATGACCAATTTTGCATGACTAAATTTCTGTTTGTCCTTGTAGCAAATGTTGGCGGATAGGCAAGTTCCCCAGGGTAGCCAAACCTGACGGTTCAGCAATCACGGTAAAAAAATTGCCATTTATGGTAATCCGGCAACTGCCGGAGAATAAATTTTCACATTTTATACCCTATTTGGGCCACAAAAACCCTCCGTCACCGTCACCTATACCCAATAGGTTCAGTTTACGACCCCCCGTCACCCGTCACCTGAACCTACGGTCGAAATGGTACAGTAAGTTGAAGAGCGCATGGATGAAACTCTTTGAAATCCGTGCTCTACGTGATGTTGGTGTGGATACTTTGTTTGGTAAGAGTAACCCGTTAATTTGAATTGATCCAGCCGAGGAAGAGTCTTCTGCTTTCTCTTGAAAACATTTCGGAGACCCGGTGACGGTGGTTCGACTCCACCGGAAGACATTAATGGTTGGCCTCAATTTTGTGTGTTTGAAACTGGTCGACTCGTCGAGAGGCGAGACTTTTGCAGCGCACGGCGTGTTGCAAATTCCAGTGCCATATATGACGGAGAGACACGACGGACAATCTTGCCTAGACCTAGGTAAGGAAGACTTTGAGAGCCAAGTTCCATCCATGCGTCCCTCTTCATTCCAGTAATCAGCTTTACCGTTGTAACCAGTGAGTCTTCGTTGAGTATGGCACTCACTCCCTTTCTTTATCTGTTTGATAACCCACGCGTTCTGGGAGACACGGTGGTTCGACTCCACCCGGAGACATATACAGGTGGAGCTTTAATCGATTTTTTCTCTTCTTTTATTTTCGAGACTGGGCGGAGTCAACGTGAGTTCGGAGTTGAATTGGGGATAAGTTTCGAGCGCAAGATGTGGTTTTGGTCTCGGAGAGAGACTGGCACCGAACATTGAGGCGTGTTCTGGTATGTATTTATTCAGGTCAGAAACCGTCATCTACGCGTCTTTGTAGAGTATGGTAGCTCACTACCCTTCAGTTATATAGCCGCGCCGCGTACGGAGGAAGCCGGTGGTTCGACTCCACCCGAAGACGTCATCCATTCTCCAATTTCTTTGTTGTTGGCAGGAGTGAGGCTGAACAAGGTAACGCGAGCGATGTCTAGTAAGAGCTCGACGGGTTTAATTCAGTGTATCGATGATCAGCTCACCCAAGGTGGAATTGGATTTGTGTCCCAGTCTGTCGGATTTCCTAGCAGTCTGATTGAATTGCGACGGGAGTCCGAGTCCCAGTGGTATTTGACTACATACCACTGTCATCGGGTAGTGAGTGCGTGCCCTTTTTTTCCGCACGAGACGGCAATATTGATTCAGACGATCGCCAGTTTCAGTGCAGCCATAAGAACCGGAAGCCCGTTGAATCAAAATCGACAGAAGGTACGAGGTTGATTCAGCGAGAGGGATCAGATTTACAGTAGGTGGGCAGGCGGGTATGCTCTAAATCTATCCCGAAAGCGTTGGATTTCCACGCCGGCCAATCAGGATATCCGATACAGGAAGGCGGGACGATACGACGGGTTGGCTAATACGCGATGGAATGAGGATTGAATCCGCAAGAAGAACTGTTTTAACAGAGCACAGCAAGACGAGTGCATAGTGTTGCTGAAAAACGCTCGCTGAGAACGGGGAACGCACAACCTTGAGGCACGCGACGCAGGCGGAAAGATGGCGCTCGAACGAGGATATGGGGCGGGAAGCGGGCAAGCGAGTGCAGAGTTCTGGGATTAATATTGAATCCGGTCTTCAAGCGCGGACGGATTCGACGGCTGCGACGGAGAGGGATTTTGCGCGTCAGACGAGAGGAAGATGGCGAGAGGCGTGGCACATCTCGGCACAGCTCGGCTTCCCACACTCGCGGCGTGCGTCAGCGCGATGACCGTCTCCTCTTTCCTCTTCCCTCGATGTCTCTGCTCGCTCGCGCCATAAACTAGTCTCCGGCGCCTCTTCTATGAACCTATGCGGCCTCTTCTGTGGCAATAACCCCTTCTCCTTCCATCTGAGCGTTGCGGTGGCCTCCAATGTCCATGGCTGCGTAACAATCCTCTCTGCGGGACATCCTACTCCTGCGCCTTCCACAGCATTCCGTTCCCGATTCCAGGCAGTAGAGCCAATTGCGCTTCAATCCTTCTGCGCCGATTCCGCCTTCTTTATCTGTCGGCCTGCTCAGACTTTTCGTTCCGCCCGCACCACATCTCTTTCCTCGAGATATCGGGTTCTCCGTTGTGCAGTTACCACTCTCCTTTATTCCAACATACATCCGCCCCAATACAGTTACTATTTCCGCATCACACTGCGCGCACTCTTTCTGTCCCGGCTTCCTCTTCTTGTCCCTGACATCCGCGTTCGTTGTTCCCTTCGCCCCCTCTCTTCTGTCTCAGCGTTGTCGTCCGCCTCTTTATCTCCCGCCTTTCTTGCTTGGGTATGCACCGACCTGAGCAGGTGTCCATTTCACCTCGCTCGTACCTTATTGGATCAAAGCTTACGAGTGGTAAGCTATCCCAGCGCCCTTCCAACTTTCATCCTGATATTGATGCGTACTAGGCTATGTAAGGCTCTCCCAATTCTGCTTCATGCTCCCTGTAGTCGCTGTAACTTCGCCTCCCTCCTCTCCCCATTTCCGTGCTGTATCCGCCAATCTGCCTCGCGGGTCCAAGGTCCGAGGTTCACAGTATCCGTTGGTCTCCACTATCCCGGTACATTCCATTCCTCCTTCCGCATATATCATCCCCTCCCCTCCGTTTCCTCCTGCCTATCCGATCGCACTCATTCTATGTCTATTTAGCCGGGGATTGCTTCTCCGTTAACAGTATGTAACCTATTCTCATGCTTTCTGGCTTCAGGCCATTCACCTGTACATCCACTCACATTCATTTACCTTCCAAGGTATTCAAATTGAAACGAACAATGACAAGTCTTCACGGCGTACAGAACCCCATTGTCTTTAATATGGCGGCTGGTAACTTGAATACGTCACTGGTTCGAATCCACCTGAAGATCTTGAGCTTCTGAGATCGCTTGTATTTTATTTTTGGGCAGCGGCGGTGAGTGCATTCGCTCATTCCCCCTTGAGTCTCTCGTCTCATGAAGTGAGGTCCGAACAACGTCTCCCTGCTGGCCTTATACGGGAATTGGAGGCCCGATCACCCAGTACATACCCGGGCCCGCAGTCCTCGCTAAGGAACGGCGCTCACGCGGGAATTGGAGGCCGGATCATCCCGTACCAGCAGTCCTCCCTGAGAAACGGCGCTCTCGCTCCCTCAGGCTATCCAGTGTATCCCATATTGGCAATGGGAGAGTGGGCGGTTCGACTCCACCCAAGTGACCTTTGCTGATACTCTTTCGCCTTTTTTCTTCTTCTTGAATCTCTTTTTCTGGCTGTTTACTCTTCGCATTCATTCAGTCTAGAACTAGGAAGAGACGAGTGGAGTCTTCATTGACTTGAAACACGAGTTGGGTTGTACTATTGTAGCCCCGGGGCCCGGCGGCCGGGGAGGTACGATATAGCGTGATTAGATTTACATTTTTATCATTCTAAAGTCGGTTAACGTCTTCGCGGGGCAAGGGCGCTCGCTCCCACTCCATTCGTGACTCCAGTTGTTCGGGAAGACTCGGCGATTTGACTCCGCCCGAGGTCTTCGGTATGGGCGTTATGTGTCTTTTGTTCAGCTAATTATACACATTTATTCAGACCAAGAGTCTTCATCGAGTATGGTGCTAACTTCCTCCATGTCAGCTGTCATCCAGTGATCATTTAATTGGGAGAGTTGGTGGTTCGACTCCACCTGAAGCCATCGAAGGGATGAGTTGAGTTTTTCCCCTCTCTACCATTCTTTCTCCCCGGCTTCATGGTGTTCTACAAGAGGGCGGGATCAGAAGTCGAGGGAGGAGGGAAGAACCGGGCCAACGCCGTGGCGTGAGATACATGCCAAGTTGTGCGAGAAATTATTTGGGCGCCGCTAAAAGCTGGACTTACTCATCTACATCTCTTCTCATTTTTTTCAATGCAGGGAGGGAGCGTACAAGTCTCAGAAGAGCACAACCTCACTCCCACTCGGTTCCTGGCGTGTCTGTGATCCGCATCTAGGAGAGTCGGTGGTTCGAATCCACCCGAGGACATGGTAAAGAAAGCCCGGGATCCATCCCTTTTCCCCCTCCATTCCATTTTCCCGCGTAGCCCCCTCTCTTACAGATCTCTCATACATTGAGAGTTTAGGAGGGTACTAGGGGTGGAGTACCTTCCCATCCCAGGTTTCACAGAGGTCCGCGCATCTATTCAGTCTTTGAAGCGGAAGCTCACCCTTCGTTGAGTCGGCGATATGTATGTATTTGGATTGGCGAATGATGATTGAATTTGCATATGCATGCATACCTATATCGGCCTGGACCTTTTCGAATGGTTATCTCAGAAGAATGTGGCTGCGCGCTCGCGGGGAAAAGACCATCTCGAATTCTCGTGGTTCGAGGGGGAGAATTTTAATCTTGGGGGAAATGGCTCTGTTGCAGACTCGGAGAGTGTCAGTCCTATCGTAGGTGGATCGAATTCGATGGGGGAGGCTCCCAAGGCCGACTTCGCAACGAGAGTCGACGAGAGTGAAGAACGTGGTGGTGGCCGGAGAAAGCCAGAACTGGCTCCGGTCGGATCCGAGTTCGATGCAAGGATGACGGCCCGTCCATCCGGGTCTTCTTTGATCCGCGCTGCCATGAGGTGGGTGCGCTCATGAATTCCTTTCATTGCTAGGAACCACTCACCATCCCAGTGATGTCTCTGTGAATATGTCCATCCACCTCACCCCGTGGTATGCCGTTGTACCTACGTCAGTGATACCGTAGCCGATGGCGCAATTACTTTAGGAACCAACCCTCGTTGCTCGCGCAAGGGCTCGCGACTCGGTCTGCCTAGACACGTGTTCAATCAATGCACATTGACTGACTCCCTTACGCCGCCGAATTCACCTCCGCAGGCCCTCTCTCGTCCAAACGCCTACCATGCCGCGGGACCGCTCCCCAGTCGCCCATATTTTCTCCGTGCCATAGCCAAAGACCCGCACGAGTCTGTCGGAATTTGCTTCAACTGTGTTCGTCGGACTCTGGTTTTTCTTCCCCATCTGATTCGGCTTATTCCGCTCCGTTTGTTACCACAGCTGCAATATTCACTCCTTGCAAAAAGGTAGGTACGTTACTACCCCGCATCTCAGAGCCAAAACTCTTGCACTTGGATCCATCTGAGCTGTCTGAAAAAATGACCAAACCTCCCATCCTTGCTTAACCTCTCCCGACCTGTTTTCCAACTCTCACGCGACCAATCAATTCCACCCGGATCCTGAGGGCAGTACAAGATTAGTCACACCCCGCGGGCCCGGTACAGCAAGGACAAACTTCTCGGCGCCGTGCATAGATAACACGTGTCCGAGAGTCTCTCGAAATTCCATGTAGGTGCGGCTGTTTTCCGATTTCTTATCCTTTGGGATTCTTGTTTCTGCTTCAGGAATCAGAGAGTATTGAACCGCCCTCCGACGGACAAAGCAAATACCTCACCCAATACCGTGCTTGCGATCCATATGTCGGTTCAATTCCCTATTTCTACATAATCTCGACTCATTCGCTCGCAAGCCACGATACCCCCCAATTCCTGCCAATTACCGGTCAGGATTTACACCACGCAGATGCCGCACTCCCGTATTGGAGGACGACTCGGCAATCAGCCCATTCATTGTGAAACTGCGCAACGTACAATGCTTGTCGGTTTTCTCTTTCCGCTCATACATCTTCAGAAACCAGTAAATCCTTCGGGTCTCTCTCCTTCATTGCAAAGGTAACCACTATTGTCCGGCAACTGTACATATGTCCACATAAGTCTAGATGCCAAACTTGCCATTCACGTCAGCGGGAGGATTTTCTCGCCAAGAATCATCACTCACTGTCTGTCAGAGTGTTTCCTAAATTCTTGTCCCATGGTGGTGACGTACTATTATTTTATCTTGAACATCCACTCATCCAGGCTTGTTCCACATCTTGGCGGCATACGGCCAGGGAGGC